GCCCGCCAAGGGCACTTATCCGGCCCGCGGAGGAGGAGCGCCCCCCCCACAGTGCCCCTCCCTTGGCTGGCTCACGCTATCCGTCAGGCCTGATGGGCAGCGTGAGCCAGCCAAGGGCAGCTGCTCTGCGTGGCCTACTCACGCGTAAAGCACCTCGCGAGGTGCTTTATGCGCGAGTAGGCCGCACAGGGCTGCTCCTCCCTTGGCAGGCTCACGCTATCCGTCAGGCCCGATGGGCAGTGTGAGCCAGCCAAGGGAGGCTGCCCCGGCGCTCTATGCAGTCATGCCGGCCACATGACCTTGGAGGTGTCTACGGACAATGCCGGCTCTTCGACTTAGAAATGCAGATGAGTACCACACCCCAGAGTCAGACACGACTGGACTTCATGTCAGAGGAAAACCTTTAACTAGGAAAATTGTGGAAGATCCAGGGTGGGAGAAGGAACTCTTGTCTGTTGGAGGTAGGTATGAATAACTAGGAAAATTGTGGAAGATCAAGGGTGGGAGAAAGAACTCTTGTCTGTTGGAGGTAGGTATGAATGTTTCAATTGGCCACCTTGATTACCATTTCATAGCCTGACAGTTTTTAGGGAGAATCCTTTGTTGAGAGGTGATTAGCTGGCCCTGATTGTTTCTTGTCTGGAGTTCCCCTGTGTTTGAGTGTTGTTCTTTATTTACAGTTATAATTTTAGAGTTTTTTTAATACTGGTAGCCAGATTTTGTTCAGACTAGAAATAGGAAGATTTCCCATTCTCTGCTCCTGGAATTACTGCCTAAAGAGGGCTAGAAAGAACCCCCTCTAAGGGCCCTTCCACACAGCAAAATAAGATATGTGCAATGTGCATAGGAAGTTTTTTTATTTTTTTTAAAAAAAACTATAGTCCGGCCCTCCAACGATCTGAGGGACAGTGAACTGGCCCCCAGTTTAAAAAGTTTGAGGACCCCTGGTCTAGAGCACTGGTTCTCAACCTTCCTAATGCCATGACCCCTTAATACAGTTCCTCGTGTCGTGGTGACCCCCAACTATAAAATTATCTTCGTTGCTACTTCATAACTGTAATTTTGCTACTTATTTATTTATTTCATATCAAAAGCATTGCATAAATTAGTATAAAACCGATAAAAATAGAAGGAACACAAGGAGCTAAATATCTTTTGACCAAAAACAGGCAACAGCAACGGCATTGTCTGTAGCCTCCAACAATTCTTCCTCTGTACATGAGGCAGGGCATCGTGGACAAGCACACAGATGTGGAGTTGTCTGTTCTGCTCCATAGTCACACAAGGTGGGGGAGTCGTTTAGGTCGTTGCACATGGGGGGGGGGGGCAATGCCAGCTAGCTTGTAGAGTTTATCAACAGGTGTAGGTTTGAGACATCCTGTAATTATTCTGCATGTTTCATTCAATGCTATGTTCACCTGCTTCGCAAGGGCAGTCTTGTGCCAAACAGAACAGGCATACTCGGCAGTTGAGAAATACAAGTCTAGGGGTGATGTTCTAACTTTGGTTCGGCTCCCCATGTGCTGCCAGTAAGCTACTTTTGCGAATTGTAATGTAAATATCTGATATGCAGCATGTATTTTCATTCACTGGACCAAATTTGGCACAAATACCCAATACACCCAAATTTTAATACTGGTGGGTTTTGTGGGGGATTGATTTTGTCATTTGGCAGTTGTAGTTGATGGGATTTATTGTTCTCCTACCATCGAAGAGCATTGTGAACTTCACCAGCGATGGAATTGAACCAGACTTGGGACACAGAACTCCTATAATCAACAGAAAATACTGTGTTTGGCAGGCATTGACCTTGAGTTTTGGAGTTGTAATTCACCTACATCCAGAAAGCACTATGGACTCAAACAATGATGGATCTGGACCAAACTTGGCGCAAATACTCAATATGCCCAAATGTGAAAACTGGTGGAGCTTGGGGAAAACAGACCTTGACATTTGGGAGTTGTAGTTTCTGGGATTTATAGTCCACCTATAATCAAAGAGCATTCTAAACTCCACCAACGATAGAATTGGGCCAAATTTCCCACACAGAACCTCCACAACCCACAGAAAATATCTGTTGCTGCCTGCACAAGTGCAGGAATATATCAAATGTGCGATTCACAGATGACCACTCTGGGAAAATATTGTGTTTTCTGATGGTCTTTGGCGACCCCTCTGACACCCCCACGACCCCCCCCAGGAGTCCTGACCCCTAGGGTGAGAAACGCTGGACTAGAGAAAGTATTTCCACGTCATCAGCTTGATAGTTTTATCTTCCAGTAGTGTATTGTGAGAACTTCACACAGTTGTCCTAACTGTGGTGTGAACCACAGTTACTTAGACTACCACAGCTTAATCATTATATAATTTGACTTGTCTCTCTGGATTTTGGGTATCACTCTCATGAGGATAAACAATGGAAAAGCCCATCCAATGTGGCCTCTCCAGTGAGATCGACAAAAAGGTTGCAGTGGGACAGAAAACAAGCTTTCAGAGGCTAACATGCTAAGCCTCATATATGATGTCGGCAACTTCATGAAAGCCACATCCAGGGGCATACTTGAACATATTTGCACATATCTTGGAGTTGCATCAGCACTTGAGAGTATCTCATGGAAACACCTGGGATCTGTCACCACTTCTTGTTGCCTGAGCCATGCCGCCACCAGTACATATGGAGTCGCAAAAGTGACATGCCCTTCTTACCATAGCAAAACAAAAGTAAATGGCTAAGCAATGGCCAGATTTTGATATGAGAATAAACATCTCAACATTTCCTGAAATGTCTGAGCTGTATGTAAAGGGTGGTATCGCCATCATCTATCTTGCCTGATGTGACAATCCAGAAGGAAGCAGCCATGCATGGCTCTGCAACGCAATGGTGCCTGCCAATGTTTATCCCCGGAAACCACCTTTCGCCTTGCAATATTTGCTGTCACTAAACATGTTTTTCAGTGCTTGAACAGGTGCTAAAATGCAATCCTAGATGCACACCCAGAGTACCATACAGCACTGCTTCTTAAACTGTGGGTCCCAATCCCAAATGGGTTCTCCTAAGCTCCATTTTGGGATTTTGAAAAATTTGTGGAGTTTTCTGAACATTACTTAGTGGTTGTTTTGGACATTTACATGAATCTGTTGTACATTTGCAGTGGGTTCAGCAGATGCTTCAGATGTACTTCATAAAAAGGAAAATCAGCCTATTTAGCAACGCTTGCAGATGATTTATCAGTTAATGTTTGATTTTTATGCCTACTGTATATGGCTATATACCTGGAGGTTATGTAGAAAATTATGCAGCAGAAAAGGTCACGAGTGGAAAAAGTTTAAGCTTTGCCAGAGCTAAATTGGCCTTCTGCATCAATATAAAAAAGGATTAACTTGAAATTCCAAATCACGTGTATTTCCGATTTTAAGCTTGCCAACTGTGACGCACTTTTTGATGCAAATCTATTGCACAGCTTGGATTTGTGTTTTATCCTAGCCACCTTCCCCTGTCCCACATGCCCCATACTATCATTGGCGGGAAGACCAAAGAAAGACTTCCAGCTCACTTATTTCCCGTTTCCACTTAAAATTCAGCTATTATTTCTTGTTTTACTATAAAGGACAAATAAAATGCCAACATTAAGATGTCAAGAGATGTTTTAATAACCCTGTAAACAGAATGTTTACAAATACTTTCGATGTTCCGAGGTGAGAAACCTAATGAACTCCAAGACATGTTAGAAATAGTACCAGTGTTAAAGGCAACCCAGTGTGGACTGGTGCCAGTGCAGTAGAGCAATATGGATGTATAGTCAAAGGCTTTCATGGCCAGAATCACTAGGTTGTTGTGTATTTTCCAAGCTGTATGGCCATGTTCCAGAAGCATTCTCTCCTGACGTTTTGCCTTTATCTATGGCAGGTATCTTCAGAGGTTGTGAGAATCTTACCTCTGAGGATGCCTGCCATAGATGCTGGTGAAACGTCAGGAGAGAATGCTTCTGGAACATGGCCATACAGCCTGGAAAACACACAACCCAGTATGGATGGTTTTCCTCATTAAAAAATGAGGCAATAAGACTTGGCAGAAACATAACATGGTATAGTGGGCTTTTGTCAGTAATATCCACCCATTAGCCAGCCAAGAGAAATAACAAGCTGCACTCTAAATTTAGAACTATACCATGTTTTTCCATTTATGGTATATCTTAGAGAACATGTATTGATCACATGCATAATTACTGATAAGTGACTGAAGATTGTCAAAGTAGGGTCAGTCTGCGTTTGATGACTCTAAAAGCATAGTTTAATGAAGAGAAGAATCATACTGTAAAGGTCCATCAAAGGAATAAAATCAGTTTTCCAACCTGGAGGCTCCAATTACGGTAACAGGAGTTATGAAATGTGTTTGAAAACCTTAAATGCTGTTTGTTCATGTGCTCCGACTCAATGTTTTTTGAGCTGTGTTGTATTACAAGGATTTTTTATTAAGTAACAAAACAGTACCACACTGTATTGTCGAAGGCTTTCATGGCCGGAATCACTCAGTTCTTGTGGGTTTTTTCGGGCTATATGGCCATGTTCTAGAGGCATTTCTCCTGACGTTTCACCTGCATCTATGGCAAGCTTCCTCAGAGGACCTCTGAGGAAGCTTTCCATAGATGCAGGCGAAACGTCAGGAGAAATGCCTCTAGAACATGGCCATATAGCCCGAAAAAACCCACAAGAACTCAGTACCACACTGGTTGAAAAGATGTCCGATATTTATAAAGTGTATGTCTATGTTCTGGCAGAATCTAAACATCTGCTCAAGACAGACTCTTGGTTGAGTAGAAAGATTAATGTGTTTCTTAGTTAACTGATCAATCTAGCTTTGGCAAAATACAGACAGCATGGTCTCAGGCGCACTAAGGCAGTATCTGGTACACCATTCAACTTCTGCAAATACTACAAGTAGCTTTTACCAGTGGGAAGATCATTGCTACCCTCAGGACAGCAAGGAAAAGGCACCAACATTAGTTAAGTCTATTTATTGAAGGCTGACTAGATCTACTAAGTTACACAGATGAGTAGTTATAAATTTTATATGTTGATGAGATGACCAAGTAGATAAAACAAATCTGGAAACACATGCACAGGAAGCAGTTTCACATTTATACTATTAAAATACAGCATGAAGAACCTGCCACCGATTATACGCGTTTTGAAGAAACATTCCAAGAGATGGGAGAAATCTTATGTAACAGTGTCCCACATTGTCAAAGTAGGTTCCTACAAAGATAAGTAGCTGGTACTGTAATGTAGCTGAGAAAGAACCATTACATAAAGTACTCCAGATTAATGTTCAATTAACATTTTGACTGCAGTAACTGTTTTGTCACAGATGTTTATATGCTAAAATCAAAATACTATGAGTTTTGTCTTGTATGGTTATAGCTACTTTAGGCAACTGTTAACATTTGTGCCGCTTGGGGGAGCTGTTTAATTGGTAAACCTTCTAAACTCTGGATATACAAAAAAAGCACTGAGCAGGTGCTATGAATTCCAGTTTAAAAGTAGAGGTTTCCTATGATAGTTATCCAAGCTGAAATGCTAACCTTCTCTTTATGGTAATATGTTTAATTTCAAGATGTAATAACCGCACAACTAAATGCCTTTCCAAAACACAAGAATTTCCTGTTTACTAACTTGTCAGAAAACTTGGGGGGGGGGTTTGAGATGCAAGAAGCTGATATTCTTGTTAAATACACGTGAGAGTAGCTGCTTTAAATTTAAATCTCAGCATTGCTTTAAAAACAATGTTCCAACAATGACAGTTAAGAGATCCTGGTCCCACGAAGCCTATCTTTCCCCCCAACCTGTATTCATTATTACACTTGAAAATTGAGCAGAAGTTCCAGTGGTAGTGGCTTGCTGGTTGTGATACTCAATGCTTTAAATGTGACTTCAAAATGAACAGGCAAATGCTTCTGAAGTCAAATCAGGTCACATGTGAACAAGGGAGTCAGTTGTTGGAAATGCAAGCATATAGGAAGGAGGTGGTTCTAAACTGTTGAACAAAACAGCAGCTGACAACTGCTGAGGTGCAAGACAAAGCTCTTATTGTAGAATTGGGACAACAGGCAACAATAGCCACTGAAGAATATCACTAGCCAACAGATACAAGAATGTTGTTTGCAGGCATTTTCATTCTAATATGGCATCACAATACTCTAGAGCCACAGCTACACTGGCGTTGCATATTTAGCAGCCATGCTAGTCTCAGAAACAGTCACCTGTGATAACAGCACTGTGCAGCTTTATTAAGTTACTTGGATACAGTAATATCTGAAAATTCTGAAGTGTAACAGATTCAGCATGAACTTTACACTACATATTCCGTTCACAAATATGTCAGAGCTGAATACAAGAACTAGCCATCAATCCAGGAACAAATGCACTGGAATAGAAGAAATGCAACAAGAGAGCTACACTGGAAAGACAACATTTTAGAAAAAGAGTGAACATGAAAGGGCTCCCCTCTAATTCCCCAAAGCAAGTGTACAGTCAGATCTAACTATATAGCTCTACATCGGTTTTCTAGAAACTTAACAAAAAAACAACACTGGCCAATACAGTCTTTGGATATTTAGACAAAGGGGAGAAAGTCAGCTTTCAGGATGAAGTCAGTCGCTTTCGTTATCGCCAGAATCTTTGCCTCCTTCTTTGTTCTTCCGTACTTCTTCAATATGCTTCTCCTAGTAAAGCAGAGTTAAGACAGTAAATACGTCTCTGGTTTTGAGAGAAACTGATACAAGATTTGTATTCTGTAATTTAGATTCTGTGAGCCATGTTTTGTTTTATTCCTGATGAGTAACATTAAGCTTTGTGTCCAGCAATCACCCCATCACTTTTAATCCACTTTTAGGAACTGACTCAAAATATGAGTTTGCTTTGAAGAAAGCAGAGCCTCTATCACCAAGTCTAGTTTGCAACAGGAACTGCTAATCCATATAGACACACATCTCAGTCTACTGGGCGGAATATATTTACCCAACAGTTTTGGTATCAGTAGAAAAGGGGGGCATGGCAGAAGTCCTAGCCCATTCCTCCTCCCTGCCGCAACGCTTAAAAGGTTTACCTGGAAGTTTAGGGGAGCTAACCCCCTTTAAAATCAAGAGGCTGCAGGAGGTATCAATTTCCACAAAGCCCCTGCTGCTATCTTCCTACAGCAGGAAACAGCCAACATATCCTGCTTTTCCTATAGGGACATTTGTTCAAATTTCTTGATTTGGGGGGGGGGGGGGGGGGGGGTTCCTGCTCACTGCATTCTATTCAAGTGTCATCTCAAAATCACAACTTGCACATTGCAGTACTCCCATTACAATGTGCCAAATGTATATGTATTTATTCTTTTGATGTAGTATTCAAGAAAAAGGCTAATCTCGTGTAAATGTGTTGGAATGTTCTCTACCTACACAAAAATTCTAGGATAACAAAATTTTATGGAGACATTTTGTTAGCTGTGAAGAAACTAGAATGCTACTTACTTTCTCTCTCAAGCGCTCCATCTTAGCAGCCAATTGTGCTTCTCTGTTCTCTTTGTTAGCTTCCATTTTGTGAGTCAACTTTTCCTCTGCCATTTTGCTGAAGTTATTATTTTCTTCAATTGCTTTCTGCAGCACCTCCTTCTCATGCTCTCTCTTCTCAGCTAGTTGCTTCAACACCTCAGCTTCATGGGACTGCAATATAGGTAGATTCCATGTTTACTTCAGAGTGGTTTGTAAGTATTTCCAAGTGTTGGCTGTATTACATGTTTTACTGCAGGCATGGGCAAACTCTGGCCCTCCAGGTGTTTTGGACTTCGATTCCCACAATTCCTAAGAGCCAGGCTGTTACAAATTGTGAGAGTTGAAGTCCAAAACATCTGGAGGGCCAAAGTTTGCCCATGCCTGTTTTTACTGAAACCAGTCTACTAGTTAGTTCCAAACAGGACAGGAAGTGTGATCAGGCAAATCCTCAACATTCCTGTTCCCTTTCCAAATGAAGTTTTTAATTTATTTTGTATCAAAAGCATTGCATAAATTAGTATAAAACGGATATAGCAGGACATAGTGGACAAGCATACAGATGCGGAGTTGTCTGTTCTGCTCCACAGTCACACAATCCAAAAGCATTGCTTTTAAACATCCAAATGAAATGAGTACATAAAGATTTTATGGCACAAATCCAGATAGTTCAGACAGAACAAATTGTAGTGATATACACTATACTCGGGAGTATAAAAAATGCTTATTTACCTTACGCCTTTCTTCTGCTGCTTCTAGCTTCCTTTGGATTTCTTCCAGTGATAGATCTTTTTTCTTTGGAGGAGAAAGAGGAAACTCTGGAACAGCTTCTTTTGAAGGTGGGCCAAGTATCAACTCAAATGCCTGCCCAGAAGCACGTTTTTCTAATTCTTTCACCTGCATGTCTACAAGAAAGATGGCCATTAACTATCAGCACTCTTTAAAGAAACTGGGTTGACAAACTGTGCTACTTAAGACCCCGAAAGGGGAAAGAAACAGTTCCAAATGTACATCAGTAATATGGATGTAAGCCAGGGCTAATAGGATTCCAGACATTCACACCAACCTACAACTGATTCACTGTAGAAAGTGATAACCAAAAAGAAAGAAAAAACATTACAGCATATTTTACCTAAGTCTTGTCTCAGCTTTTATATCTAAGTTGTACATAACATCCCATCTTCATTTGGAGCAGTACCAGGTCCTTCCAGGGCTTTTGGACTTCAACTCCCACAATTCTTAACAGCCTCAGGATCTAAGTTTAAGTGGCTGAGGGAGAAAAGGAAGGGTCCTGAGGCTGTTTGGAATGGTAGGAGTCGAAGTCCAAAAACCCTGGAGGGCCCAAACTTGCCCGTCTGGACTACAGGTTTGAACTTTAAACATAAAATAAAAAAACCCATTTGTCAGTAGAGATCTGTCAATCTCTATTGACTTAGCTATCAGAAAACAGGCTACTATATTAGTCAAGTCTACAAGCTTGACCCATTCATTACCTTTAATTACTATACATTCAATGGCTGAACAATATAATGTAATCTTAAAGGGCTTACTCAGTGGATCCTTGGTATCCATTTGGGTTTCATTTCCCCTCCATGGATACTGTAATCCATGGATGCTCTTGTCTTTTAATAGATTACAGTATAGTAAGATGGTTCCCCTTATATAAAATGGCAAAATCACTGATTTTCCAGCCACGGAAGACTGAAACCATGGATAAAGAATCTGTGGATTCAGAGGGTCGACCCCCATCTTAAGGAATAAATCATAAATGAACTTCACTGATATACTCTTGCTGACTCATGAAAAAAAACCAGCATATATATTAGACATACAGTGATTGACCCATAGATTGATCAAAATACTTACCAGACGAAGCCATGGCTAAGTCGGATTTCAGAAGAATGTTCTGCAGCTACTTCAGCAACTGAACACTAAGAAAACAGAAACATTATATAAATAGAAACACTATATATCACTGCTCTATGATTTTGATTAGAATAGTAAATGTTTTTTAAGAGTTCACAGACCCTGACTTTTCCTCTAGCTACTCCTGTCTTTTGTTTTTTTTCAGGGTTAACGCAGCACATGAAGCAATAGCCAATATTGAAGGACAAAAGCATTTTCCTTATGTAAACGTATGATACTCAAGAGCAGATGCATCAGGACTTTGGGGCATTTTGATGTTTTATGACCCATGTTGCTACGATGACACAAAATGGTCTTTTGTTTTATACTGGTTCCAAGCTAAGCATATCTGCTCTTTTCAAACAGCTTCCTCTTTGTCCGCTACTCACATTCCTCAAGCAAAAACAAATACTGGAAATGTATGAGTTGTTTCTAATAAAAACATTTTTTGTCCCAAGTACATGGTATATAGAGCTGGAAATAGTTCTAGCAGAAGCTGCTTGGGCACCTAACCATCTCACAATGGATATTGGGGTTTTTATCCTTTCCTCCTGCTCAGTACAAGCAGCATCTACTAAAAATAAGATGCTGGTGCTCAAACACTGGGAGTATATTCCCAGCCGTGAACACTTAAGCCACTGGGCAGATGTTCTCCATCTGTCCCTTCCTTGTTGTTGATTAAGAAGGAGAAGAGCATGTGCATATGCTATTTGATTCCCTAAAGCCCTCCCTCGGAATAGAGGATGAGCTATTTCATTTCATCAACCCGATCAGAGGCAGGCAAAGCCATTGTTCTTGCTGCCTTCTAGCTTGGGGAGGAGGCTCAAGGTACAAAAGGATGCCCTGGAAGGATGGACAGGTGTTTTGACAGTTGTTAATGCAATATCTAGCAGCCGAAGGACTTAAATGGGACTAAGTTTTAATTGGACTTTACCCTTTAACCAGACAAGTGGCTGGATTGTTTTAATTGATTTATATAACATCACCACTGTTTATTTCCACTTATGAAAGATGTTCTTACATCAATTTAATATGTTGTTTTATTTTTATACTATTTTGCTTTGATTTTTGTTGATTTAAATTTTGTTGTTTATCTTGTTTCTGGTTTGCACCATTATGGTGCTGTAAGCCACTTTGAGTCCCTTCAGGGAGATGAGGGTGGGATATAAATCAAGTTTATTATTATTACATTATATATTATTTTACCTGGGCATTGAAAAAAAGTCAAGGATCTCCAGGAACAAAAACACACACCCACACGTCTAACAGGCTTTGGATTTGCTTTGTTAAGTAGCAAAATCAAATTAAAAGCATTAATATAATTGTATAATTGCTGTTTAGTGGTGTAGGTACAATATAGTAATATATATATTGTGGTATGCTAATAGAATGTATAGAATGTATTATATATACATATAATATTGATAACAATATTATAATGCAATACAAATCTAACAATACAATATAATAATATTGTAATATCAAAATACTAGTATGTTAAATATAATTATTAATGATAATATGATATACTGTTTATTGTATATTTTAAGTTTTAATCATATAATAATATATAAAAATAACAACATTGTAATGTAATAGTGCTGGTTTATTGTATGTAACATTAATGTAATATATTGTAAATTCAATATACTACAACATGATATGGTACAGTATATTATGTAATACTATTAGTATAATGTACTGGTAGTGCATTATATATATTGTGGTATAATAATATAGTACAATATAATAATATAGTAATTTGATATTATATATTACATGTAATATTGCTAATAATATTGCAGTATAGTGGTATAGGTACAATATAGTAATATATAATACTAATATTATGCTATGCTGATACAATATATTATATTGCACTATAGTAATAGTAATATATTAAACATAATTGCTATTGGTAATATACATGTAATAATATATAATGAAATACTGTTTTATTATTGCATATTTGAAGTTGTAATAATAATAATAATAATAATAATAATGAAATAACAATGTAATGTAAGTGCTGGTATAGTGTATGTAATATTAATGTTGTACTATAATATATTGTATATGCTACAACTTACAATATGATACAGTATATTATATAATACTATATATACTAATAGTATAATGTACTATACTGGTAGTGGTGTGATTTTTAACAGTGATTGTAATGTTTTATATTTTTAATGTGCTTTTTATTTTATTTTTTAACTTAATGTATTTTAAGTGTTTGTTGTTCAAAGGCATTGAATAGTTGCCATATCTAAAGCCGCGTAGAGAAAGGCAAGGTACAAAGAGTAAATAAACAAACCGTGCATTATATATATATTGTGATGTACTAATATATATTGCTGTTGTTCAGTCGTCTCAGACTCTTCATGACCTCATGGACCAGCCCACGCCAATATATATAAAACTAATATATATATAAAATATAAAATAATATATATAATATAATAATATATTATATATTACATATATTACTAGTAATAGTGCAGTATAATGTGTTATTTTTTAGGTAGATTTGTTTTTAGGGATGGGTTGGTTATTTTTGTCTTTGTTCAGCTTCTCGCAGCATTGAATGTTTGCCTATCTCTGTTGTCTAACCGCCCCGAGTCCCTTCGAGGAGATAGATAGGGCGGGATATAAATAGGTTTCATTATTATTTTATTATTAAATAAAATTTTAGTGATTGAATGTAAGATTCTCCCTCACCACACTTTGCACAAAATGTCCTTAGACACATTTTATTTTATGGGTTGTGCAATGAAATCCTTCCTCATTCTTGGAGCGTCCTCCTTATAAGTTACACTGTCACATCTCCCAGTTTTAATTTTTTAAAAGTATTTATCCCTGCCTAGTGAAATTCCCTGTTTTTTTAATGTTTGATTTTATATTGTTGCGTTGTATGTTATTTTGATCTTGCATTTTATGTATTTTGCTCGTTTTAACTGTGTTTTGTGTTATATTGTTTGTATTGTATCAATGGGCGTGGTTTCATGTAAGCCGCACCGAGTCCCCCTGGGGGAGATGGAGCGGGGTATAAATTAAGTTATTATTCAGTTCTTGTGGGTTTTTTCGGGCTATATGGCCATGTTCTAGAGGCATTTCTCCTGACGTTTCGCCAGCATCTATGGCAAGCATCCTCAGAGGTGAGGTCACCTCTGAGGATGCTTGCCATAGATGCAGGCGAAACGTCAGGACAAATGCCTCTAGGTCACCTCTGAAGATGCTTGCCATAGATGCAGGCGAAACGTCAGGACAAATTCCTCTAGAACATGGCCATATAGCCCGAAAAAACCCACAAGAACTGAATAACCCACAAGAACTGAGTGATTCCAGCCATGAAAGCCTTCGACAATACATTAAGTTATTATTATTAAATATTAATAAAATACAGTAATAATAAATAAAATACAAATAAAGCCACAAGACAAAGGAACAGCGCTTTGAGACGGAGGCGAACAAAACCGTTTGGGTTGATGGGTGGGATTTAGCAGAAAGAGAACGAGGCGATGGAAAACAGCAACGCCCAGGATTTGTATTTGGGGAGGCAAAGAGCACTCTCCACTCCTCCCTTAGATGAAAAAAACCCCAAAACGACAGCTCTCCCTCCTCCCTTTCTTTGTGTGAAGAGGCGGGGCCTTCACGCGACAAGCCCCACCCTCTCTCCGCGCCAAGCAGCCAATCAGATGTCGTTTTTCCTCGCCAGGCAGCCTATCAGACGAGCAGGAGGGTTTGAAAAAAAAAACTAATGCTGGCCCCGCCCACCGCACGCGCCGCTCTAGAATTCAAACGGCTCGAGAGAGCGCGCGCGCGCGTAGGCAACCAGCCTCGCCCTCAGAGGGAGGGGGCGCGCGCTCCACCACTAACGGTAACATCCGGGCACCTGAGGGAAAGGAAGCCCCCCCCTCCCTCACGCTCTTCGGAGAAAAGGAACGAAGGCGCGCTGAGGAGAGCCTCGCCGCCGGTCTATTGTTCGAGGCGAACAAAGGGGAGGGGCCGGCCCATGGCGAGTCCAAGGAACAATAGCCAGGCCATTTTTGAGGGGTTCCAGGCGGTCCTCTTCGCCTCCCCGCTTAGAGGTGGGACGTCCCAAGGAGGCCTCCCCACTCCTCTCCCCGTCGGACCCACCTGCTCGGCTCCGCTCCTCCTCCGCCTTCCTCTCGCTTCGGCGCCTCGGCACAGACTGCGCTCCCAACCGCCCTGCCCGCGCCACAAAAGCGCCAAACAAAAGGCACGTGACGCGGCCACGCCCCCGGATTGGCTGAAAGGAGCGGCACGTGCCGCGCGGCGGGGGAGGGAGAGGAGAAGGACCCCCTCCTTCTCCTCTCAGAAGAAGGAAAGAAAGGCGACTCAGGGGGAGGAGGGGGCGTGGCCTCCCCTGGCGCGCGCTCTTCTAGGCTTGATGGGGGATGTAGGCCATGGCGGGAGTTGAGGAACCAACCTGGGCACAGCATTTTATCTGAGAACACAAAAATGCTGGACCACTGTCACAACCACCACTCTCACAACTACACAGAGAAGCCATTGAAATCCACAAGCATGTGGACAATGTCAACAGAAAGGAGGAGACCATGAAAATGAACAAAATCTGGCTACCAGTATTAAAAAAAACTCTAAAATTGCAACAGCACAACAACAGAGAGGAAACAACCAGGCACATCTTAACACCTCTCAACAGAACATTTTCCCAGGCTCAGCCAAGCCTTCAAATGCTAATGAAGGTGGTCAGCTGAAACAGTCACACCTAGCTTCAGCAGAGAGCTCTTTGCCCCACCCCAGTCATTCCACAGATATATAAACCCATTTTCCTATTTCCAACAGACCTCACAACCTCTTGCCATAGATGCAGGCGAAACATCAGGGGAAATGCCTCTAGAACATGGCCCTATAGCCCGAAAAAACCTACAAGAACCTAGTAAAAAGAGGTTTATTTATCTGTGGAATGACCAGGGCGGGACAAAGAACTCTTGTCTGTTGGAGCTAGGTGTGAATGTTTCAACTGACCCCCTTGATTAGCATTTGATGGCCTGGCAGTGCCTGGGGCAATCTTTTGTTGAGAGGTGATTAATGTGCCTGATTGCTTCCCCTTTGAAATCCACAAGCATGTGGACAATTTCAACAGAAAGGAGGAAACTCATGAAAATGAACAAAATCTGGCTACCAGTATTAAAAAACTCTAAAATTGCAACAGCACAACAACAGAGAGGAAACAAACAAGGATATCTAATCACCTCTCAACAAAAGTTTGCTCCAGGCACTGTCATAGTCATAGAATCAAAGAGTTGGAAGAGACCTCATGGGCCATCCAGTCCAACCCCCTGCCAAGAAGCAGGAATATTGCATTCAAATCACCCCTGACAGATGGCCATCCAGCCTCTGTTTAAAAGCTTCCAAAGAAGGAGCCTCCACCACACTCCGGGGCAGAGAGTTCCACTGCTGAACAGCTCTTACAGTCAGGAAGTTCTTCCTCATGTTCAGATGGAATCTCATCTCTTGTAGTTTGAAGCCATTGTTCCGCGTCCTAGTCTCCAAGGAAGCAGAAAACAAGCTTGCTCCCTCCTCCCTGTGGCTTCCTGTCAGGCCATTATATGCTAATCAAGGTGATCAGTTGTTGTTATTATTATTATTATTATTATTATTATTATTATTATTATTATTATTTTATTAAACTTTATTTGTACCCCACTAGCATCTCCCGAAGGACTCGATGCGGCTTACAAAGGCCAAGGCCTCAACAACAAAAACAAACAATAACAATAACAATACAATACAAAGCAAAAAATAGAAACATAAGCAATGACAAAAACATTACACTATTACACATTGAAAACAGGCCGGGCCAATGATGGGTACAGGTTAAAAAGTGCTGGATGTGACGGTGGTATGTTGGAATTCTGGGCAAGTGCAATGTGCAGAGAGTCCTAACTCTAATAAAGTGCTTCTGGGACATAGTGCTGGGGGTTATCCTATTCTGGGAAGGCACATCGGAATAGCCAGGTCTTCAAGTTCTTCCTAAAGACTGCCAATGTGGGTGCTAGTCTAATGTCTTTGGGGAGGGTGTTCCAGAGTTGGGGGGCAACCACAGAGAAGGCCCTGAAACATTCACACCTAGCTCCAGCAGACAAGAGTCCTTTGTCTCACCCTGGCCATTCCACAGTTCCAAAAGACCTCACTACCTCTAAGGATGCTTGCCATAGATGCAGGCAAAATGTCAGGAGAGAATGCCTCTAGACCATGGCCATATAGGCCCGAAAAACCCTACAACAACCACTGATTCCGGCCATGAAAACCTTCGATAATACATGGCAGGAGTGTTTTGATGTGGAAGGGGACAATCCCGTTGGAAAGCTCTCCAGATGTCAGCCCGCCTCTCGATTTCAGTGGTGCCAATACCTTTGTCCTGATCCCACTGGGTGCACCTACACTGCAGAATTAATCCCGTTCGATCCCATTTTAACAAAGCTATGGAAGAGTCGTTGTACAAATTACTGAGGATGCCTGCCATAGATGCAGGCGAAACGTCAGGAGAGAATGCTTCTGGAACATGGCCGTACTGCCGGAAAACACATAGCAAGCCATTGATTCCGGCCATGAAAACCTTCGACAGTTGCACAAAGTATTGTCGAAGGCTTTCATGGCCGGAATCAGTGGGTTGTTGTAGGTTTTTCAGGCTATATGGCCATGTTCTAGAGAAGTGGTTCTCAACCTGGGGTCCTCAGATGTTTTTGGCCTACAACGCCCAGAAATCCCAGCCAGTTTACCAGCTGTTAGGATTTCTGGGAATTGAAAGCTAAAAACATCTGGGGACCCCAGGTTGAGAACCACTGTTCTAGAGGCATTTTCTCCTGACGTTTCGCCTGCATCTATGGCAAGCATCCTCAGAGGTTGTGAGGTCTATTGGAACTAGGAAAGTGGGTTTATATATCTGTGGAATGACCAGGGTGGGGCAAAGAACTCTTGTCTGTTGGAGCTAGGTGTGAATGTTTCAACTGACCCCCTTGATTAGCATTTGATGGCCTGGCAGTGCCTGGGGCAATCTTTTGTTGAGTGGTGATTAGATGTGCCTGATTGCTCCCCTTTTGAAATCCACAAGCATGTGGACAATTTCAACAGAAAGGAGGAAACCATGAAAATGAACAAAATCTGGCTACCAGTATTAAAAAAACTCTAAAATTACAACAGCAAAACAACAGAGGGGAAACAACAACAGAGTGTCTGTATATATTCTTACAAACTTGTTCTAACAAATTGTTCAATTGTATATGTGTATTCATGATATGTGTTGTTTGTAGACCCAACCGCCTGACGAAGGCTCTTGTAAGTCAAAACCGGTTGCAGGTTGGAGTCAATTCATGTGACTACTGGAGTCTACTCATATGTAATAAAGAACAGGACATATACTCACACGAAGACTTTGTTTTATACTTCAAGGGAAGAACCGGTTGTTTCTACTTAATGTGAATATGGCAGTCCTGTTTTTTGATATGTGTATTTGTAATATATACATTGAGTTAATTTACTTATTTTCACATTACCACAATCAGTAGATTTTGGTCTCCACGCTTTTAGGAACTAGCCAGTCTGGCCAACAATGAAGAAAGCTGGGCAATGTAGCCTCAAAGTTCCTGGAAATTGCAAAATGCTCCTGAAAGAAGCTGAGAGGCAAGATTAACCAAACAAAATCCTACAAACATGTAAAGCTATTTGTCTGCTGTTTTCACCCACAGAAGAAGCATCTTGCATTTCACAAGTATAATGAATACAAAACCTACATTTGCATTGAGTTCTAAATTTGGATGTGTGTAAAACTTTTTTAAAAAGTATAATCTTGTTCATTTTTAAAGCAATCAAGGATCCTTTGTGTCTTATAAATAAAATAAACGTATTCTAGTGTCAGCTTTTGCAGACATCCTGGAACTGTGAAATAAGCCATCATAAATGTGTGAATTTTTAAAGGTGCCACAGGTTTGGTTTGTGTTGCAGTACAAATGGATTGCGGCCCCTTTGGTTAAGAACAAAATCGCCCCAGGAAGCATTGTGCGGCATCCGATTCACGCGCCCTGCTTCTTTAAATCAGGTTTGAAAAATATTTCAATTAGCTGTCTTTTGAACAAAGAATCCCAGAGAATGCTGAGTAGTAGCTTAAAAAACTACAATTCCCAGGTGAACTTGTGCCTCATTATTTTCTATCAGATGTGAAACACACATTCGGGCGTTTGCAAAAAAAATCCAGTTGGTCTGCTTTGTATTTGCTTTTTAATATAACTGTTCAGCTAGAAGTTCATAAATCATAGCTAATTTAAAGGACTCTTTTCAGGGTTTTTCCACTCATCTTTGTTAAATACCGGCATATGTCTGGGTATTAAACATGCTAATTGTGAACTGCACACGTACGAATCATGTCAGTTTATATACTGTGGATCAAATATACACCTCAGTAACAATGACTGCCACACACAAAAATGTATGCATGATACTTCTTAAGAGGTTTTTTAAAAAAAAGTTAACAGCTTGATTGGTTTGAAGACAATATTTGATTGCAAGCCCATAGATTTCAAACCAATATAAACCATAACCTAGTTAGATTTACTGTTTTTACTGTTTACTGTTATTGCTTTAATGTTTTGATTTGCTTTTGGTTTATGTGTATTGTTATATTGTTGTTGTATTGAGGTCTTGGCCTTTGTAAGCCGCATCGAGTCCTTCAGGAGATGCTAGCGGGGTACAAATAAAGATAATATGCACATATTATCTTTATTTGCATGCACATATTCCATTGACTTTGTATATATTGCCCTGAAAATAATGGCACCTTGGATCTGGTACAGGGAGAAAGGAACATATCACTTAATTAATAGATATGGTTGATTTTGACTTTATCTTGTCAAGTATGTCTAATATTCTTTAGGTTGGATTGTTGCCAGTCTAGGAGTGCATCTACACCAGACTTTGTCAACCTGGGGGTCTGGGCCCGGGGGGGGGGGGGGGGGGGTCCACGAGGGGGGTCAGAGGGGTTGCCAAAGTCCATCAGAAAACACAGTATTTTCTGTTGGTCACGGGGGGTTTGGCCCAATACTATCTTTGGTGGGGTTCAGAATGCTCTTTGATTGTAGGTGAACTATACATCCCTATACAACTCTCATATAGCAAGGTCCATTTCCTCAAACTCCATCAATGTTCTTCCTAACTGTGAGAGCTGTTCGGCAGTGGAACTCTCCCCGGAGTGTGGTGGAGGCTCC